AAACAGTTCTTGTCACTTGAAAATAATTCAATAAATGCTAGGTATTATTATACTCTTTTGGTGTAACTACTTCAGAAACAGTTTTTCACGTGAATCAAGGGGGAAAAAAAACCTTAAAAAAAAGGAGAAAAGAACAAAAAAAAATTGAAACCTGTGTATAATCAATAACAGGAGATTAAAACCAAGAGAAATAAAAATGAAATGAGGTGGATTTTAAAGAATAATAATAAAAATATTTTGTAGTGGAGAATGTACTCAATTATTCATTCTTTGACTCTATCCCACTGTCCCTAATTAACCTCTCTGCTTTCATTCTTTTCCTCTCTCAATGTTCCCTCCACACTCTAACCAGTGAACATTCTGAGGCATCAACCTGATCATGTTAAAACCTGAAATGGATCCTTAACATGCTTTATGACTTCCTATTATCTGGCTTTAACTTCCTCTGTGGCTGCTCTTCTGCACAACTCATTTCAGCCAATTCTCTGGGCCATCCTGGCTGCAGAGCCAGGGAGATGACTTGGGAGAGATTAACCCTTCCTCTCCAGTAACATCCAGGAGCCACACATCCCCATTTTTAATATAGGTAATGGAAAGCTTATCAATTTTGTGTTAAGATGCAATGAAAATTCAGCTTCAACCCAAGTTTCCTAGTTCTTTCTTCCAACCAGATCATTTCCCCCAAACCTCTCCTATGTAGAAATTCTGAAGTCATGCTCTATTGCTTGCCCACCCCAAACAAGTCATTTCCTTTCAGATCTCCCTGTCATTTGTCCAAGCAATTTCCTTTCCCTGGGACTGCACCCACACCATCAACAATGCCCGCTTATCACTTCTAGACTCAACTCAGTCGTCATCCCCTCTAAGAAGGCTGTTAGGGCTCTCCAGGCAGGTTCAGTCATTCTCACTCCCACTTTATATTTGGCGTAATCTCCCTACAGTAAGTGCTTCCCAAAGCACGATGTGGCTCAGTATTTCTGGCACCTAGTATGACCAATGACCTAGTAAATACTCAATAAACATCAGTCTCAGTCAATATTTGGAGGAACATATTACCCATGTAGAATGCTTTGGATAATAGAATCACAAAAATCAAAAAGCACCAATGATATTGGCAACTGTGGTCTGTTGGCCAATGCTAGATTTTTTGTTTAACATCTTCATAAAAACAATGAAACTCTCCAAAAATCAAGACAGTCATTTTAATAAATGTCAGTAACACTGTTATCACCATTTGAAAGACATTGAAGGTTGTAAAATACTCATCTCTATGAGGGGTCCTAGATATATACAGAGATGTTAAATTAAAGTAGCCATATTTTGTGAACAAAAAAAATCTAAAGGATCTAAAAAGAAAAAGAACAATACTGATAAAAAAAAATCTACCACTTACCGAGTACTATAATGTCTGAAGACTCTATCTGGACTAGTACATGGATTCTCTCTCACTTTAACCTTGCAAAAATTCTGTATGTTAGATATCTTTACCTCTTATAAATGAAGAAACTGAGTCTTAGAGAAGCTAAACAGCTTGTGCAATGTTTTAACATGGGAAATGGGACTCAGAATTAGAACCCATATCTGACTGTTTTAAGAACCTGTTATTATACTGTCAATTTCAGGAATAACTGCTATCTTGATGAGATATAGTTTCAAGTCTTATGGAACTTAGTCTAGACATATATGAGAAGTACCAAAACATGAGCAAGGAGCATTTGAGGACTTTCTGAATTACATCTTAGCCTCCAGACCTTTTCATTTTATAAAAGATGGGCTTTATGTCTATGCCTAGCCTCAACGACAGTTGATCCAGATCCAAGTCACACACACCTGTCCTCACCAAGTCACCCTATGTATTATTTCCAAACAAATCACGTTAGCATACCATTTCAATTTTGATAAGGTTAGTCAGATAGACTGGGGCAAAGTGATGGAGGTCCTTGACAATTGAGCGAAAAAATTATCTTCCTATTCCAGAAGATTCT